CTGTTTTGCCTCTGTGCACTTGCAGTGCTCAGCTCCCTCTCTCTCTTCTGCCTCTGTGCACCGGCACCGCTCGGCTCCCTTGCCTCTAGTTCACTCCTCTTCCTGCTTCCTACAACGCAACTTCTCTGGGGGAGCAGAGGTATTTCAAAAGTGTGAAAAGTCCAACTAATCTGATAATTTTACTCATAGAAACATACAAAGGAAAGAAGGATGCTTTCAAAATCTTAAATTACTTAAGTGTTATATGTATTAGCATAAAAATTTAGAACTTAAATGCTTAACAATAGGGAACTGTTGGATAATTTAAAATATATCCTTAAGAAAAAATTATTAAACCATTAACGAGAGATAACATATGCTTATCTGACATGTAATTTTAAGTCACTGCAGCTAAAGCGAAACATCCTGTTCACTAGGCAAAAAGGACCTGCTTTTTATGTATACACTTCAGGGCAATTTTTAAAATACTGTAATTATAATTTCAGAACTATAGAATTTGAATAGGTGCCAGTGTTCTCTCCTTTTTTCCTCTGCAGATCATCTGAATCTTGGACAAAAAACCTGCAGCTGAGTTCCTCAGATCACTCTGTAGAGCCTTCCAGACTCATGACGCGAGGGAAGCTTCCTTTCAACTTCCAGGGAAGACGTTCTGGCTCACATGACCTCATCTTACAGGAGTGTGCTATGGCCATCATGGTGCAGGCATCAAGAGCTGTTTCTTCACACAATAGTTCTCCCACATGCCCACTTCTGCTGCCACCACTGGCACGCCTGTGTTCAAGTCCACACCCACAAGTTCACCTGATTCTGAGTGTTCTGCTTGGATTTCAACTAACGTTTCCTGACGGTCAAAACCAGAGTTGTGTGTAAGAACCTTGGGAACGATGAGCAACGCATCAGCAAATGCTTTGGCCCCTTACCTTTACGCTGGGCTTAAGTTAGTCAGGGATCCTGCCACTGCCACTGCCCCCTCACCTGGAACCACACAGCCATCCACCACCAGTAGCATTTCTGACAGTCCTCAAGCCATGTCTTATTGCATCTGTGATTCGAGTGTGTGTGCTCTTTGGTCCTTTGACCAAACATGTGACAGAGGGAGGACTGCTACATTTCTCAGTGAAGGAGAGCTTCTCTTCTCCCATTGTGTACACATAGACAAATCCTGCATGTCTCAATCCATCAGGATTTAGGTCACCTAAAGAATTTGGAGCTAACCCAGAACGAGAAAGAGTCAGCCTCTCCATATCTCTTTTAGCTCTGCACAGAGCTACTATTCCTTCTTTTGCAAGAGCATCTAAGAAAAAGGGGTCAATTCCCTCTTGATTACTAACAAATCCTTTATTTGAATCACTACAGACTTTCTTTTTCAGTTTTATTATTTTTTTAACTCTATCTTTAATGAACTTTCTTTAGCTTTTACTAGTTTTTCCCTCTCTTCTGCACTCTTCTTTTTTTTAGTAGCTCAGTTTTTTTTTCTGTGCTAAAAAATTTTTAAGGGCAAAAAAAAAAAAAAAAAAAAAAGTGGGCCCCGAACGCCCAAGGGCCAGTACAGGCAAACCATTAGCCCCCACACTCAAGTGGCAACTACTGCAGGAATCACTGCCCTGGAGAAGGATGCACTGCCTAGGAGGGGACCTAAGGTTAGACCTCTGCCTCTTTCCCCAGTCCAGGCCTATAGGGAAATGGGGGGACCAAAGCACTACATGGTTAGGTCTGGGCACAGACTTTATGAACATGAGCCTGAAAGCACAAGCAGCAAAAGAAAAAAAAAAAAAAAAAAAAAAAGTGGGCCCCGAACGCCCAAGGGCCAGTACAGGCAAACCATTAGCCCCCACACTCAAGTGGCAACTACTGCAGGAATCACTGCCCTGGAGAAGGATGCACTGCCTAGGAGGGGACCTAAGGTTAGACCTCTGCCTCTTTCCCCAGTCCAGGCCTATAGGGAAATGGGGGGACCAAAGCACTACATGGTCTGTACTACCAGGGAAAGATGTTCAAGAAAGTTCATGACAGAAACTCGGAGGAGTCGAGAGTCTTCAGCTCTGCAGCAGGTGTTAAGGATGCTGGGGCTCACTGTGGGCTCCTTCCCAACCACCCCTTGTGGGGCTCGGCACCTGGAGCCAGGGACCCGCAGGCGATCTCTGCCTCTAAGGGAGTTGGGAAAGGCACGCTGAGGGTGAACATGTGTAGTTGCATTTCCAGCACTCTGGCCATGGGCATGGGGTCTCCACCCAGGCCGGGGTCATGCAGTGCTCGCGAGACATGGGGAGCTCCTCTGGCTAAAGTTGCCGCTGTACGTGCACCGCTGTGGGGTCAGCCAGGACCTCCCCGGACCCCCTGGGCATCAGCACCACCCACCGCTCTTCTGCACTCTTGTAAGAAAAGCCAGAAATCACTTCAGTGTTTTGTGTTCTAATGAGACACTGCATGTGAGGACGTAAGCATCTTTTTTTTCTTCGTATCAGGATGCCGTGCCCCATGGACTAAAACAAGCCCTCAGATTAAGCTTGTATCAGTTTCAGATTTATGTTTCATCTCCATAATTTCAATCATGAATGCGTCAATAGGTTCATCTTGTTTTTTAAGGGCCAAAGTGGAGTCTACTATACTACAGCCTCTGTCAAGACGTCCACAAGTTCAGTGTGAACTTCAGTATGAAGAGATGTTTTGGCCGCACCTACAGGTATTTCCCTGTCCAGAGCTCTGCTTACTTTGACTTGTTCTAAAAATTGAAGGGCCTTTTCCTTTGCAGATTCAAGACCTTCAGTGATTACTCTGGGATGAAGCGCAGAGACGTGCCTGTTTCGGCGCCTCTCCAATCAAGACACTGGAGGACCACCAGTCATGCCATTCTGGGCACTGAACCTGCATTTCGTGCAGCAGCACGTTGCTATCTTCAGCAAGCCTAACATCTCCAGTGCCCTGTGCCCCAGGTTAGTTCTTAGCATGTCCTGCACTCTCCATGTGCTGCTCTGAAGTTGACTGCCAGTGCTGCCTGGGCTCAAGCCACCCTGGCCTTGGGGCTCAGGGTCTTTTCGGCTGCCATAGCTGACCCAGTGGAGGAGAAGGAAGAGAAAGAGAGCAGCATGTGCAGTGCCCAGAGCAGCTCAGTGTGGCTGGGTACAAACTTGCCTTTTAAAGACATTTCATATGAATGGAATTATATAATATGTAGTATTGTGTCTGGCTTTTCACTTAGAACAATGTTTTCAGTATTCATACATGTTGTAGTATCAATAATTTATTACTTTCAATTTCTAAAAATATCTTATTATATGGTATCTATCAAGGGTTGATAGACATTTGGATTATTTCCAGTTTCTGGCCATTATGAATAATGTTGCTCTGATCATTCACATGAACACTGTACGTGCCTTTATGGGGTGCATAAAAAAAATTAAAAATACCCCAAAAACCAAAAAACAAATTGTGTGAACATACGCTGTCATCTCCATTACACTAAAAGACAGTCTCAAGACAGCCTGCCAACACCCAGTGAAAGTGTCAGGAAACGGATGAAAGGAAGTGAAAGAGCATGCTGACTAAATGTGCCCTGTGGTTGGTCCTGTCTACTACACTGTCGACTGGGAAACTAGTTTTACAAAAGACATTATGGGACAACCGGCATAACTTCAGCATGCTCTAGGAGGTCTGAAGGGCAGGTTAAAACACCACTGCTTAGCTCCACCCCCACAGTGCTCATTCTGCACTGAAAATGCTCATTTTTAACAAGCTCTTAAGTGACACTGAAGCTCCTGGTCCCAGGATCACACTCCACCCATCAGTGGATTAGAAAATGTCCATACATCATAGTTAAATTCCTCATTTTTTGTCACTTAATTGTGGTTAGTTGAGGGAACGTCCCTAAGCTCTTAGGAAACATGCACCAAAATATTTAAGGACTGGAAGACATGATGTCTTCAGTTTACTCTCAAATGATTTAGAAGAGACACACATGGAGGGGATGACAATGCAAATGTGGAAAAATGCTAACAAGTGGTCAGCATGGGTGAAGAGGTTCTCTGTCCACAGCTTGCAACTTTTCAACATGTTCAAAATGATTCCAAAGTAACGGGCTGGCCCCGTGGCTCACTTGGGAGAGTGTGGTGCTGATAGTGCCGACGCCACAGGTTCGGATCCTATATAGGGATGGCTGGTGCACTCACTGGCTGAGTGTGGTGCAGACAACACCAAGCCAAGGGTTACGATCCCCTTACCGGTCGGAAAAAAAAAAAAAGATTCCAAAGTAAAAAGTTAAAATAACTTCACTCAGAAATGTAAAATACTTAATACAACTTTCTGATCAAAGATCAGTTGAAAGTGAATGCCTATCTGTAAGTCTCATAAGTACAAGCAATGTACAATTGATATCATTCTGTGTTATATATACCACTGTGTGTACCTTTAGGTATTATACTGCTTTTTTATAATTTACAAGGAATACAGGAAACATTAAATGTCCCTCAGGCAATTTTAATTGCTAAAAATAACAAGTCATATGAGATCAACATTAATTTTCAGAAGTGGTTAGCTAAGGCTGGGTAACATAAAGAAAGTAAGTGACAACCAGGGCAAAAACATACTTCCTTCTGCTCAGATACACCACACTGACATTTGTAGGTTGTGTTTTCTTCACTTCAGCAGTAAAAGCCTAAGATGCATCACAGGTGGTGACTCACCTTACAGACAGTTCATCCGAATGCTCACAGGCTATCACAACCGTGATGCACATAACTATCACATAAATAGGTTAATACTGTGAACACAATGAAAAAGCAACTCAATACAGATAACCAGCACTTGACTGATTAAATATCTAGCTGAAAATAAAACATGGCACAAAATAATAAACTGGATATTATAAAAAGCCTGTATGCTGTAGATATTATTTCCCTGAAACAATGTGCACAGCACCACTCCATTAGCCTCCTTTGCTCTGACCTCTGCTGCCTTTCTCAGCTACAACTTGGTTCTGAAAGCCATGGCATGGAGTTGCATACCTTAAAGCCCAAGAGCGGGGGCCGGGAGCAGCTTGTCACGAACTTGAGCAGCTTGCGCTTTTCTCCATCAGTGAAGCCTTCCACGACTCTCCAGAAGATCTTAATGACAGGGTGATCAGCAGAATAGCCTCCTATGACAAAACGAACAAGTGCTTCATTGAAAGGAAAATGCCTGCAAAAGCGGGATTCTCCTAAAGGTACCAGAATGACGAGCTGAGAAGCACGATCCCCGCATTTCATCATGCCTATCACGGTGGCGGAGGGGCTCGTGGCAGTAAATGAATTCTGAAAAAACACTCCCCACACTTAATTCTTTGCAGATAATGGGCAAAGTACAAGAGGGAGAGAGAAACCTCAGAAGGATCAAAGTAGTCAAAAGCCAGAATAAGGAACACCCTGTAGTTACTGGCAGCAAAAGATACTGCAAAGGAGTCTGATTTTTAAGAACTATGCTTGTAGTTAAACATGAACAGCTGGTGAGTAGTAGGTCTAAATAAACAGAGGCTTTTTTTTTTCCTTTTTGTCTTTTTTACTGACCGGTAAGGAGATCGCAGCCCTTGGTGTCGCGCCCGTACTGGGGACTGGCAACGGGATTGCAACCCTCGGTGTTGCGTCCGCACCGCGCTCAGCCAGTGAG